GGCTAAGAATGTAGCTCAGTGCAAAGTCCCTGGACTGGAAAAAAAAAAATAAAGATCCTGTACAAATCATCCATCAAACATTGTGAAGTACTTACATTTCAAAATAGGTACAAGAGTGTTCTGGAAAATTTATAAAATATTTCAAGGGACCCGAAGAAAGATCTCAATGAAAGAAGATGTAAGCTAATTTTCTAGATAGAAATCAGTCAATATTTTAAAGTTGCTGGTTAATCTAAATTCATCTGTACTAAAGCTATTACAAATAAAATCTCCGATGAGTTTGATCCTCAGTACCTAAATAAATAAACAGGTAAAATCTCTAAGATAATTTTGGAAAGAGTCATGTTAGCTGAGCGGGAACTTTGCTACCCACACTTCCTGCTCCTGGGTGAGAGGACCCAGAGGTGAGACTGGCAGGAGCTGCTTCTTTGCTCTGAAGTTTGGTGCAGCCCAGGGTGAAGCCTTCTTTGCACCTCGTGCGGTGGCAGCTGGAGCCTCCCTGCGTGGGCGCTCAGCGCCGGGCCTGGTTTATCCTAGGTAAGGTCGGAGGCGGGGAGAGACAGACACAGGCTCGCCCTGGTAGATTCCCAGTGGTTCTGCTCTCCACTAGTCATCTGTCCCTGTTGGCCCTGCAGACCTCAGATCTGCCAGCAGACACGGAACCAACAGCCTCACACGAAACACTTCACTACCTCCCACGGCATTGTGAGCGCCGAGGCCTGCAGTAAAACCTTACTTTACGCTGCTTGTAGCAGTCCTGGGTTTCTGGTTCACTCCTGCGTAACACACAGTCCCGGTCCGGCCAGTATTTCATGGAAATTCACCAGCTAACCCAGACGATGAAGGCAACAATAAACTAAGAGAATTCTGAAAGCACAGAAGCAAGAAGGAAGAGGTAACGAGGGGGCTTGCAGTGGTGGATAGAAAGACCTCTGGTTCGGCTACTCAGTCAAAGAACGCGTGGTAACGGGGGAGATGCAAAGCAGACACTCAGAAAAGCATGGGAGCCCGCAGAGACGCGCAAACAGCTGCAAAAGCCTGCGTGCAGAAGAGGCCCGCCCACATCACCAAGGGAAACAGTGCAGTGTTCGAGGGAAACGGCTGTGGCAATTGGATGTCTCTATGAGCAAACGTTGGTTTGTGTAACGACACCGTATCATACACAAAAATTTCTACAATAATTAAAGCTCTAAATAGGAGAAGAAAACTCTCCAATGAATTATAGGAGGCTATCACTGAAGATAGGGTGGAATTTCTATGCAAGACACAGTAATTGCACCCATAAAAGAAAAGTCAATGTATTTGATTGTATTAAGGGCAGGGAGAGCTCCTGAATGATAAAGGACACCAAAACAGAATTAAGATACAAATCACATTTGGGGAGAATATTTTGCATTATATACAAGCAAAGAGCAAAGAACTGGCATCCAGAATACACAAATAACTTCTTCAAAGAAATGAGAAATAACCTACTAACCAATACAAGGAAAAATGAGATATTTCTTTTTTTTCCCAAATCTATTTTATTTCAAAGAGAAAAAGTAAAAAAATTTCAAAACATGTCAATCAGGGGCAACAATGTCAATCAGGTGACAACACATTGTCATACCCAAATCATTCACCAGAGCACAAGACATCTGCATTCAATTGTCAGAACAATACAGCACAAACCTTCTCTTCAGTGAACTCAGACAAATCAGTAGCATAACTAGCTTAACTATTATATATATATATATATATACACACACACTCACACATATACATACATATATATATATGTATGTTGCTTCAGCTTCTCACACTAGTGAGACAATACAATATGTTTATACATGTGTGTCCGATTTATTTCAGTAGTGAGTGTGGTCTCAAGTTGCATCCATTTACTCATAAACGCCTCTAGTTTATCCTTTTTTGTGGCTGAGTAGTACTCCATTGCATAAAAATACCACATCTTTTTTATCCATTCCTCAGTTGATGGGCATTTAGGTTGTTTCTAAGATCTGGCAATTACAAATTATGCTGCTGTAAACATGGGTGCACATATATAGCTGTGGTATGATGCCTTTTTTTTGTTTTGTTTTGGTATCAGAGATTAAATTTATGACCTTGCCCTTGCCAGACAGGTGCTTATGCTGCTGAGCTAAATCTCTGCCCCCGAGTTTTTTTTTGGTATGATGTTTTTAATTCTTTTGGGAAGATAACCAGAAGGGGAATAGCTGGGTCAAATAAGACCTCTAGTTCTAGTTTTTTGAGGACTCTCCACACTGATTTCCACAGTGGTTGCACCAGTCTGCACACCCAACAGCAGTGGAGAAGGCTTCCTTTTCCCCCACAGTCCCTTCAGCATTTGTTATTACTTGATTTCTTATTACTAGCCATTCATTCTGGGATATGGTGGAATTTCAGTGTTGTTTTAATTTGTATCTCAAAATGAGAGATTTGAAACAGGCAATTGACATAAAAGTCTGACTTGAAGAGGAAAAAATAGGTAAAGATACTAGTTTCATAGAAATACATAGAATCATAGAAATACAAATTAAAACAAAAATACAATGTGGTCCCACATCTATTAGATTAGTTAAAATGAACAGTCAATGATATCAGTGAAAGACCGGAAGAATCTCAGACATTGCTAGCATAAATTAAGGGACCCATCAGAGGAACAATTTGCTAATAGCTATGGAAGATGAAGATACACGTGCCCTATCAGCATATGCTCTGGAGCAGTGATGGCGAACTTTTTATAGACCGAGTGCCCAAACTGCTGGTGAGGCCATCACTAGGTGCTGCTACCCTTTTCAGAGCATGTGTATGGCCCCGTATGTGCTGGTGTCTGTGCTTGGCTGCTAGGGCAACTAGGCTCCTGTGCCAACAGAGAGGGCTCTGCATACCCACTGTGGCACACTTGCGTAGGTTCGCTATCACTGGCCTAGAGGAACTCTTGTAGCCACGCAGGGTGGCTCGTGTCTGTGATCCTAGCATTCTGGGAAGCCAAGGCAAGAGGATTTTGCAAGGGCAAGACCTGGGCAGCTTAGAGACTTAAGAGTGTTTCAAAATTAAAAAAAGAAAAAGAGGGCTGGGGATGGAGCTCAGTATGAAGGCCCTGTGTACATTCAACCCCATGTATGGGGGCGGGGATGAACACAAATTTCATGATTGTGATGACTTTTCAGGACGCAGGATCAGGGATCAGGGACTGCCCACATACAACTCAAGCATGGATGTAACATTTGGGACACAGGCGCAAAGCTAGCATAGTAAAATACTAATATGTGTTAAATCTGCACCACGGAAACTCTGGCTTATGTTATAATTTTCTGTAGGTTGACTTTGTTCTTTTTGTTGTTGTTTTGAGATAGGTCTTGGCATGTTGCAGGCTGGCCTTGAGGTTTCTTTTTTTTTCCTTTTTTTCTTTTTGTTTGGTACCAGGCATCAAACTCAGAATCTTGTGCTTTCCAGGCAGGTGATGCACCACAAAACTATACTTCCAGCACGTGCTCGCTCTCTCTCTCTCCTTGACTCTCTTTCTGAGTCAGGGTCTCACTATACAATTCAGGTTGGCGTGAACTCACTTATAAAGCCCAGGCTGACCTCAAACTCACAGTGATCCTCCTGCCTCAGCTCCTGAGTGCTGGGATACAGGCATGTGCCACCATTCTCGGCTGGCCTTCACGTTTCTTGCAGAGTGCTGAGCTTATAGAAGTGTGAGAGAGAAATATTAGTGGTGCCCAAATGTCTGTGTTGCCTGGAATTCACATGGGGAACCTCTGTCACCAGTGTGATTATATTTGGAAGTGGGGAACTTTTGCAGGTGCTTAGGTCATGAGGGTGGAGCCCCCCAAAATGCCCTTGTAAGAAGTTTCTCTGTGTCATGCGGGATTTGAGGGGGGCCTCAGGGTCCAGAGCTGTGAGCATTTCTGGTGTTCAGCCTCCTGGTCTGTGTCATTTGTAACAGCAGCCTGGGCTGACAAAGACGGTGCCCCCGGTGATTCTCCCAGCCTTGACTTCCTTTGGGAAACTCTGAGGTCCGTCACAGAGTGAGGCACGCAGCCTGCTCTCTCTGCCCTGTGGACTCACTCTGCTCCCAACCCCAGGCTGTCTTTACAGTCCAAGCAGAGAGCTCCTAGCCCACTCAGTGCGGGGATCGATATTTATTTTGTGCACTGTGAATTCCTTCTCTCTTGCAGCAGGCCTGAGACAGGCCAAGCCTTGGCAGTCCCAGGATGATGGTCACCCGGAGCTCCCCTGGGCCTGGATAGCCACGGCTTCCTTGTCCCACAGAGGGTGGCACTTTGGACAACCTGGCTCTTTGCTCGCTTGCAGCCAATGAACTTCCTTCTCTGTGCCTGTGCCCCTTCCGCCTCAACTTGGAGCAGTCTGAAACTGAGAACTGCTTCTTGCATTGACCATCTGTGTTGAAAGTTAGGGTGCTTACCCTCCCCGCCCCCCTGTTTTCCTCTCTGTTTTTGCACGCGAGCTGATTGTCTGACCTATGCATCTTTCCATTTCTCTGGAATGGAAATGCTCTGGTTTTCTGCTGTCTCCTTTTCCTTGTATTTTTTCCTTATATTTTTGCTCACTGAGCTGCATGGCTTCCCACTGCGTGTGTGTGAAGATCATTGAGAACTTCCCACCCTGCGACACCATGGGGAAGCCACAGGGAATTCTGAGTATGAGTATTATGTCAGGGTAGAAGGACCTAATAAATGTAAAGAGCTGTAAATCCCTGGGACGGTAGTCATCTGAATCCCATGCCTTTCCGTACAGTTTTATGCAAGGCGTTCCCACACTTTCCATCCTGTCTGAGGCATTCTATCAACTAGGACTATTTCCCATTAGCTCAGGAATAGAGCAGGAGGTAGAACAACACGGTATAAACAGCAGCTAAAGCAGGGCTTCTCCTGGGGGTCTGCGATGTTGCTAGGAACATTTCTTGGGCCCTAAGGAATGTTACTCTGTCAGCTGTCTTCAGCTTGCATGCCCTGGAGTTCAGTGTTTTTAGCTGAGAATGTTTGTGGCTTTTCCTAAGGAGGTCCCTGCCTTACAGAAAAGTTTATAATGGTCTTTTAGACTTGCTGGAGATGAGAATCTCGAGACTTAAGAGAGTCTCTCGGTATTAGGCTGATTTCAATGAATTATAAATTGAAGTAGCCACACTGAGGGAGGCCACCCATCCAGCCCAAGTTATATGAACAGGGGTTTAAGATGTCAGACCTCTCATATTTCATGTGACCATGCTGGATCTAAGTGGAAATTTTACACTGAAGGGGAAAGATCATGTCTGTGTTATTTTAGAAAGGCGGTCTCTCCTCCCGCCGTGCTTTTATCCTTCAGTGTTTTGTAAGTGTCCCGGTCTCCTGAGACGGAGGCGAGTGTTACTGCTGTTGTATCACGGATGGAGAGGTGGTGCATGGATACGAGTCGACTTTCACCTTGCAGGTGATGGCTGTGCCTTTCAGGGTCACGGGTCTCTATTATGCTGCTTATTCTACAGGACAGCATCACCTCAAAGCCTCTGAGTTAGAACTTCTGGGCTCCACTGCTCACGGCGGTGTCTGTGGGTGACCTTGTGCGACGTTCCCTTTCCAGATGCCTGCTTTCTTGCTTAGCTCTAGATAACAGATCCTTACTTCTGATCACATCCTGTTTGTGTTTGTTTGTTTTTGCTTAAATTAGGGATGAGGGGTCATCAGTAAATCAGCAGGGATTCCATATTATGTAAAAGGACAGAAGCTCTAGAAATCTCTAGCAAAGGTTCAGAAAAGGACAGCTGACTGAATGCACTGTAAGTTTGCCTTAAGGCAATTAGTGGACTTTAAAAGAAAAAGGGACACAGACCCTGTCCTTTAGCTACCAAAATGGAAAATACCAAAACACACCATGAGTCTGTATTCTGGAGGGTCACTTTGAGTGGTCCGGTGAGGGTTTAGAAAGCACAGATGAGGTGGAACAATTGCAGGTGCACAGGAAGGAGCGTGCCCTGCACCTGTGGAGAATCAGTGTGGAGTTTAAGCTGACCTGATAGACAATGCAGTCAGAAATAGAACCAACCTTCCAAGCAGATGAGCAGATCAGGATGGGCTGGGTAGAGACCTAGGGAAGGCCTGGGCCTTGTTTTGGCCAGGAAATCCTGGAGCTTGAATACAGAAGTTAGAGAGTCCTGAATGGAGTGAGGCTCAGTGTCCACCAGCTGTGTTATCTTGGGCCAGCTACTCTGCCTGCCTGGTCTCAGTTTCCTCATCTGAAAAATGAGTGAGTGGACTTGTTGAAGTCTAAAAAAAATGCCACTTTGACATTTGCAAAATATTCTTTTCAATGTGAACATGCTATAATTTAAAAGGCTGCTCACTATCTTAATTTTTGTGGTGCTGAGTGTGGGCCAGTGTTTGTTTCACCGAATTGAATTTCAGTCACCACCCTGAATGCGCGGAGGCCCGGCCTTGGAGTCAGTGCAGGGCCCCAGAGGACTTAAATCATTCAGAAGCAATTCTCTGCCATTTTGGGCTGGAAAAGCCACCTCCAAGCAGGCGAATTCCAGGGAAAGGGAGTGGATGTCTGGATTGCAAACAGCTTTTGGATAAAGATGATTTGGTTTGGTTTAGTTTGGAGGGAGTCAAATATCCCCCAAACATCTCCGCGTTGAGCTGGGGTAATTCTATCTGCTGCCTGCCATTTCAGAAGGTGACCAAAGAAGTCTCCAGCAACTGGCAAGGACTGAATGTTTTCCAGTTCCTGCATTCACCTTGCTCCCAGGTCAGGGCCACTGTTGGCAGGAGAAGTGTGTAATGGTTATAGTTCCTGCCACCAGAACTGCTGCCTGGGCCCACGCCTGACCAATGAGAGGAAGCTCAGCAAGGAAAGACGATCCACAGCTTTATCTGTGTGGCCAGACACCAACCAAGTGCTGCCATCACTGGAAGGGAACCAGGAGGGAGCAGCTTAAATAGGAAAGCCCCGTGCAATGAATTTTATTCAGGGTTTTTTCATTAGACTGAAATTCAAGGGGGGGAGATAATTATTGAGGAACCACTACATCTCAGACAATATGCAAAACTTAGGAACTCAAAGAGAAAAGGTTATGGTCTTTTAAATTAGTCATCTTGTAGGTAAGCTGTGTTTAAAAGCAGACTCACTGTGTTCAGCTTTAGCAGAGACAGTATAAGGAAAGAGCTTGCAGCAGGGAAAGAAAGCCCTGACATGTGATGGGAGAAGGCAGTGGATGGACCTTCCAGGCGGAGGAGACAAAATTAGCCAGGGCAGAGCAGGTGTGAAAGGACACGGTGAGCCTGGGGAGTGCAGAGCAGGGCAGAGCTCTGGGCGTGCGGCAGACAGACGCCCTCCAGGAGGGGTCAGCATAGGGACCTTGCTAGGGAGTGGGCCTCCGGGGTGGGGTCAGGGGATGTGTCCCCAGATAGTCACATTTGTGCTTGAGAAACACCGTCCTGGAAACAGTGCAGGACAGGTGGGCAGAGGGCACCAGTAGGATGCTGACGCACGTCAGGAGATACAGGAAGAAAAGCCATGATATTTTCTATTGGCCACTACCAAGGGGATCTAGCGGCTGGGGACAGGCATGACGTGAGAGGAGGCTTGTTTGTCTGGCTTGAGAGCCTGGGGGATGCTGCTTCTGCCTGGTCCTCTTCTGTCTCCTAGCTGGGCTCAGCAGTGCTGGTTTGGGACCTAGCTATCTGCTTTTATAAATCATGTAAGATTAGAATCAGGTGAATACTTTAAGAAATAGTGACTTAGTAGAGGAGCCCAGAGAGCTACTTAAAAATAAACTTTTGTAAAACTTTTAATTATTGTGTGTTTAGGGACTGGCTGTTAACCTTGAGAATAGAAAAGCATTGTCCACCTAGTGAAACATGTATAAAGTAGAAATGTACATTTTGGTGACTGAGCACGAAGCAAATGTGTGTGACCAGTATGCCAGTCCAGAAGTAAGGGGGCGTTAGCTCCTGGGGTGCAGCTCAGTGGAGAGCACTTGCCTACATGTGTGGGGACCCAGCATGGGGGTGGGGTGGGGCACAGGGAGAAAAAAGTGGGGAATGTAAAAGCAAATTTTCTCTTATTTAATCCCTTCTAATTTAGGGTATTTCCCCCCCTTACTAGTCCAGTGAAGTTTAGGGGTCCTGAAGCAGCTATTTGGTTCAAGACAGACAACAGTGACAAAGTTGTGACCTAGGCTGTCCCTTGCTCTGCCTGGTAAGCTAGACTTGTGTAAGCTAGACTTACACAAGGTTCACCTCAGTCTTGAAGGTTTTGCTTCTGTGTCAGCAGTGACAGTGCACTTGGACTATTGAAAGGGAGGGCAGAGATGAGAAATGGATTAATCTTCACGTGGGCTTCCTGGGGTTTCGAGTGGCTTTAGGGGCTGAAAGGCTGTTTAGCAATCTGTCTTCCGAACGCTGCTGTTTTTAAAGCAAGCGTCCAGCCACTCCAGCCACGTGTGCAAGAGGGCCGTGGTTAGGTAGAGGTGAGTCCTGGTAGGCAGAAGAGTGAATGACTCAGATGCCTGGCCCAGGTCAGCAGGCCCCACGGGAGAGGACGGTGGGCGACGGAGCAGGGCAGGAGGAAGATTTGGACAGGCTGGAGCACTGGCACGAACCAGATGCCGCCCAGTCTGCCATGCTGAGGGCAGCCCAGGCCCGCCCTCCCTGAGTTCATGTTGAGGTTTATGAGAGGCAGAGGGTTTGTGTTGCACTTGACATTTTCACAAATTGCTCTGTAGTTGTTTTTATTCGTTTTCTTCCAGCTGTGGCCCCAGGGACTTTCTGACAGCCAGGCTCGCAGGCCAGCTTGGAATCCCTCGTTAACTGACTCAAGTCATTGAAAGGCGACATCAAGCCTGCTTTGAACTCTGCTCAGCGCTGGGCAAATCCCAAGCATGCACCACAGGGAAATCGGTAATGAGGCTCACACCTCCACAGTGCACAACTTGCCTGTGCAGGTGTTAGGAACAGGGCGAGGTGCAAGCCCAGGGGAGCCAGGGCTGAGGAGCACACAGACCCCAAGAAACAGCTTCCTCCCTGGTCCTGGGTGAGCAGGCCGGGCTCAGGAGGGGGCTGTTACTGCTCCTGCCAAGGCTACCCAGAGACCCAAATAAATTCACAGCTATCTGTTACCTCCTGAATTTTCACACCAGCTCTCCGTGGGTGCAGCTTAGCTTGGGAGAAAGTTGCCAAGAGGTCTCAGTGAGATTTTTCCCAGGAAGCTATTAGTTTTACCTCACTTGACAGGGAACAAGGTGAACGTAATCTTCAGAAGGTCCAGGGAACAAGATCCCAGCGTCCGGATATAAGTGGAGTGCATGGGTGTTGCAATATGTTTTTGTTGCACATTTACTATTAAAAAGCTACAAGCAAAGGCAGCATCAACAGAGCAAAGTATTTACTGGCTTTCTTAAAAATTTCACAGTAGTAGTTTTCAAAAAGTATTATCTTGTTGTGTGAAATGGGCTGCTGTCTCCTCCAGCAAAAGGTAGCATAGGGTTCTCTTCCACTAATTAGCGTTAATATTGAAAAGGGCTCTAAGTTCGAGGGCGCTCCCTAAAGTTGTTCAAAGGCAGGTGTCCAGGGTGTTCCTTGTTTAGTAGGGGAGATGAGTCACTGGTGGGAATCAGAAAACAGTGTGTTCACAAGGCTTGGAAAGTGAAAACATGACCCCAGTGCAGGGCGTGGTGGGTGGAAGCGAAGGCAGATGGACATGGAGAAAGAAATCATAAGTGAACACAGATTTACCAAATGTATCTACCACAGGCAAGGGTGGACCTTGTTTGGAACCTGATTCCTGTAGTTAACTATAAGACAAACAAACAAACAAACAAAATGTGAGGTAATCAGTGTAATAAGAACACTGGGTACTTAATGACATTAAGGAATTATCATTTTTAATATTTTATGTGTAAGAATGATATAGTGAAGCTAAAAAAGGGTTACAGTTTAGAGCTAAGTATGACGTCTGAGGTTTTGCAGATGAAATTATATTGTCTCTAAGTTTTGTTTCAAACTGCTCCAAAGGGGCCAGATAGGGGTTGAGATGTAGAGGGCGGGGCAGGAGGGGAGGTAAGAGGTGGATGAAAATTCTGATTGATGATCATTGAGGATGGACAATGGATGCAAGAGTGATGCATTCAGGAAATTTCTGTACTCCGTATTGAAGATGTCCATTGTGCAAGACCTCAGTGGGCTTTTATCTGTTAGTTTTTTTTTCCTGGTAGGGGAGGGAAAAGTATTGAGGATTTTTCTCTCAAGTTGAACATGCAGTTTGTATCTTTATTAAATCTCTCTCCCCTCCCTCCTTCCCTTCCTTCCTTCCTTCCTTCCTTCCTTCCTTCCTTCCTTCCTTCCTTCCTTCCTTCCTTCCCTCTTTCTTTCCCTTCTTTCCTAGTGTGAAGTTTGAACCAAGGGTCTGCTCCCTGACCTAGATCCACAGCCCTTTTTATAATTTTATTTTTAGATGGGGTCTCATTAAGTTATAGATTAAAAACTGGGGTCAACTTAACACCAGCTGAATTAAATCACTGAGCATGGATGTTCCACCTGAGGAAAGCTGCCAGCCTAAGTAGAGACGGAGAAGGAGGGTATTAAGGCATTGAGGCATTGTGAGTTTTCCTACATGTTGCTGTTTGAGCCATTGGTTCTCCTGGAGAAGCTCTGGTCCTCACATCAAGTATTGCTTCCTGGCTCCAGAGGAGAAGACGTGTGCTGCTTGGTCTCCAGGATGAGCTCGTCATGCTGGCTTCCTGGCATGTACTTGACTGTGTTTGTCATCGGAGGAGCTCGGGGCCTCTGTGTCGCTGAGGATGGCTGTGGTGCTTTTTAGGACAGCCCTGGTCTTTGTTTTGAGTGTGACTTCTTGGCTCCAGCATAGAATCCTCAACCTACCAGCACAGCTCCTTCACCCCGCTGGCATAGACTTTCTAGCTTCCACCGCTGACTTTTGGGCCTTCCCAGCACGGATCTGTAAAAGAGTGTGGCGTGAGTCCTTCTCTTGGGCTCTGGACCTCCAGTTGGACTTGTAGGAGGCATTGTCATGAGCTCTGGGTCTTCATCTGGACTCATTGGGACATTACTGTGGGGTTCAGACCCTTGGCTAAATATTCTATGTCTTTAGTGTTGTAGATCGATTTCCTGCACTTTGTGTTAACTCTGGGTGACCATCATAAATGATATTATAAATTCCATGTCCTGGGTCTAACTGTTCTCCTCACAACCCCTGACTACAACAGTCACTAAGTCACCTAGGCTCAAATTTGCTACCCTCCGCCTCTCAGAATGCTATGATTTACAGGTGTGCTTCACCATATGTGGGGAGCTATTGAGGCTGGAACCTGAACACATGTGCAGGGCTGCAGCAGGCTGGGGCATGGCTGACCACAGAACAAAAAGACACCTCACAGGGCAAGATAAGGCCACAACTGAGGACAGCTGGCTCCAACCTCAATTAACAAGATAGAGATTGTAGCTGCTGGCATCTCAGTCCTATAGTGAAAGTCCACCTGGAGACTTCCTCCTAAGATACTTCTCCTATATTAACAGTCTATTATTTGGAAAAGTCATTGAACCATTCCCAAGGTCCTGCTCAGTTTCCTGCATTTTCCAGTCTAACCCCTTCCTTGTTTGAATACTAAATAAATACGGATCACCCAGAGACATCCTTGTCTCAGCCCCCAGAAGTCTCCAAACTCTGCAGAGAGTTTTGATCCTCCTGGAGCCCCAAAATCATACCACTTGTCTCATTTATTTAAGCCTTAGCCGTAGATGCATTTAGGGTATTGATGATCTTGGCCAGGTCCCCAATAACCATAGCTGATTTACCTCTGTCAAACTTATAATCGAAGAAATCTCATTGGGCTGTCTCATCCCATGATTCTTATTGTATAGTTCTATAAAGTTGTCATCCAATTGTCATCAAAACTGATTTTACATGGGGCTTGAGAGAAGCAGAAAACAAAGGGACCAGAGTGCCTGCCAGTGGTTTCCTTGCACAGTGGTAAGATCATGACCTGAGTATCTGCAGGGAGCCTGTGCTGGGACGACAGTATGCTGTGCCTCTGCTCTTTATATCAACGTGGATGGGAGGGTAGTTATAGTCCTTGTGGCCAAGCTCATTTTAAACCATCTTGTAGGCTCAAAAATAGCCCATACCTTGGGCTGAGTACCAGTTATCCCTGCTGTGTGACAGATAACCCCAAAATGCAGAGGCAAAACCCAAAAACACTTACTATGCACAGAGTCTGAGGTGTCGCTGGGGTTGGTTTTGTAGGTGGGTTCTGGTCTGCATTTCTCCCGCGGCCGCCATCAAGGTGTGGATTGGAGCTGCGGTCGTCTGACGGCTTGACTGAGGAAGTCTACATCCAATGCCATTCTGGGGTTTACTCTGGCCTCCAGCCTGCTTCCCAGTTCACTAATATGTGCTTCTCCACGGTGCTGCTTCATGCCACTGTTACTAGAACCTCAGGGTCATATCCCATGGGGACGAAGAATGGAACTGTGGGCCGGGGGGGGGGCAGTGCAAGCAGACTTATTTCAAAGATATAAAGGCAAGGAAGTAGAGTGCCTGCTAGCCTAGAAGGGTGTCGAAATAGGGTGCCCATGAAGGCTCTTTGGGAGTTCTTAAGGGGTTCACAAGGGAGCTCAGACTGTTGTGTAAGTGATGTGACCTCTACCCTATAGCAGATTATGTACTTTTAGGGTCCACTTCATGCAGGCCACACCTGATCATGCTCTGGGAACAGCTGAGGACATGTGGCAGATGACTGGTGATTCCTGCTGTGCTGTGACACAGCACACCCCATTTCTGGGTTGCTGTCTTTTACAATCTCATAGACCCCAACTCTTGTCTCACTAATTCCTGATTCACTATGAGAGGTGCCTCTGCCAGAACAAGAGAACATGGGGTGCGAGGACCACGCTGATGGCCCCATCCTTTCATAATCAGCGTCCTTCAGTCACTTTCTTGTCACCATGACACCAGGGAGGGAGAGCGGTTTGTTTTGGCTCGTGTTTATAGTCCATGGCCAGCTGTAGATACAGCCCAGGATGGCATGGCAGAGGGGCAGAGTGGAGGAGAAGCTGCTTGTGTCATGGCATCCAGGAAGCAGGGAGCGAACAGAGGAGCTGGGGCTGGAGATGAACCCTCCCAGGACACCAACCCTCTCTTCCCACTGGCCCGCATCTCCTCACAGCAAGCCAACTGGGAGCCCTCATAATCCGACAGCCTTCCAAAGCCCCAGATATGAGTGTATGAGGCTCTCGAGGGACATCTAGGTGTAAACCATAGCAGCACTGGTTGGAAGGGGGTCACTAAGTCCAGCGAAGGTGAGCAGCAGGTCCCTGCTGTTAGGACCCAGAGTCCGGGTTTGGAGGCTCCCTCGGTCTCGGACAGCCCAGCATGTTTGGCCAACCTCAATCCGGTCCGTATTTAAAAGGAGGGGATCCTGCAAGGGGTGGGACCGGTAGGGGCCCTCTGAAAGCCTGCCTTCCAACAACCATTGTTTAAAGATTTAATTCTCTGCTTTGTTTTGTTTTGTTTTTTCTTTTTCCTTTTAAAAAAATTAAAAAAAAAAAGATTTAATTCTCTTCCTTCCTGACCTGAAAGCCGTCTGCAGTTCGTGTGTCAGGGTGTGTGCCTCAGTGCGCATGACAGAGTAGTGAGTCACTTAAAGTGCACTAGTAAGTTCAACTTTAAAAGCCAAACTGTACTGGGGGGAGCCGGACTAATGAGACCTACTGAGCACACATGGATTTTTTCCCATTTGGTCATTATTTCAAAGCAAATACTAATGTTGGCATAATAATTCCGCCTCTGTTTGGATTTCTAGAATTCCTAACCAGATTTGTAATCTAGTTCTCTGTTGAAAAAAGAATTGTTTTAATTACCAAGGCATTGTGCTTTGTTATAGACTGTTTGGAACTCAGAAGACTAAAATGAGGTAAAAAACCATCTGAGGACTTGCTTGTTTAGAGATCCTTTATGTATCGGTGCTTTTGTTCACCACTCGAGTACACTTCTATCTCACTGCAGACTGTTCACTGATACTTTCGTTCAGATGCTCACCATTTATTGAAAAGGTTATTCTTCCCCATTAGATGGTACAGGCACATTTGTCAAAAATCAGTTAACCTTAAATTATAAATATATTTTCTGGCTCTTCATTCCTTATTCTGTTCAACCGATATATTTTTTAATGGCAATGTATTTTTTCAGTTAAGAGGATGCACTATGATTTCCTCCGTAGTTCCCTTGTGGCTTGGTGTTTTGATTATTTTCAAGTTAGAAAATATTTAGAAGTTTTAAAGCTGCATTTGGAGTGAATTGATTTCAGTAGATTCAGAAAGAGATTAAAATGGTCTGTTTATTCATCCATCCATCCATCCATCCATCCATCCATCCATTCCTTCCTTCAGGCAGTGGTATTTACTATGCGTCTCACCCTGCACTGAGGTGTCAAACTGAGCAAGAAGGGATGCTCAGCTCTCATACCTCACGGAGCTGGGAAGCTACGGGGCAGCAAAATGAGGCGCCTGTGTGCTTCCTCTACGCTCAGTGATGCCTGCTGCCCCTGGACCTTCATGGGAAATATTGGTGTGTAAGTTTCTTCCAAGACTGTGAGCTTCCTGAAGGAAAGGACCATGTCTGTTCAATATTAAAAAACAAGCAAGTGGAAGGGTTGATGTCTTCTATGCCAGGCCATCTGTGATTCTGTTGCATCCCAGTGAAGACAGCTAAAAAGATTTCTTCTTTTTCTTTCTTTCTTTTTCTTCTTCTCTTCCTCTTCCCCATCTTCTTCTTCCTCCTCTTCTTCCTCTTTCTCCTCCTCTTCCTCCTCCTCTTCTTCTTCTCCTCTTCCTCTTTCTTTTCTTCTTCCTCTCCTTTTTCACTTCTGCTTCTGCTTCTTCTTTGATGTCTGTTTTCATGGAGCTTATTGGACAAGCAATACACAGAAGGTTACAACTTGTGTTAAGTGCCATGGAGGAAATAAACTCTAGTGTAAATTGGGTTCCTAGAAGAAGTCCTGTTGCAGGAAGAACCGCTGAGCTGCAGCTTGGAGGAAGAGAGGCAGGTAGGCCTGTGAAGAGCTGGGTGCAGATGTTCCAGGTCAAGGAAAAAGAATGTGCAAAGGTCCTGAGGTGAGAAAGGGCTTGAAGTGCTTGAGGAGCCAAAAGGAGGCAACAGACACTACTGCTGTGGGGTGGGGGCAGCATGATGGGAGGGAGGTAAGGACTGGAGAAATATGCAAGGCAGTGTGAAGGATTCTAGGAAAAGTTAATGACTTTGATTTTGATCCTAAAGGCAGTAGTATCTCATAGAGTCATTGCCTTAGTCTGTTTCCTTCAGAAGACTAAACTAATTTATCTCGGAGTTCGTATAAAGCAGCATCAGTAGAGAAGTGGAACTGAGGCAGGGAAGGAATGCAATAAAGATAACTCATGGTTCAAGCTCGAGTGTGGACAGTGGGACCTTACCGCTGGGAGCTCAGGGCCAGTGTGGAAAATGTCCGCATTCTTCCACCCGAGGGCATCGAGGACTGGGTATCTACTCACCCTGCCGGGCAGCTGTTGCTTGAGACCTGAGGTATGCTGGGGGTGAGGCAGGGTCTGTAAGACGCTGGCAAAGGAATTCAGGTTCTGGCATTGGGGAGCCAGGTGGGTGAGCTCTGGAGGGTGCTTGGGCTGCTGATCCAGGTGAGAAGCTAATGATTTCCGTGGGTTTAGTCAGTGGATAAATCAGCAGCAGGGTGAGTGTGGGAGAACACATGGACATCATGGGCACCCGGGGTGGGGGAGGCCACGGAGGACTGGACAGAGCCTCAGAGATTTGAGCTGGGCATGACGCCTAGGCCTTGGTGATGGTTTGAATGGAGGTCTGAGGAGGAAGGGTGGTTCCAGAGAGATTTCAGGCCTGAGTGTCTGCGCAGGTGACAGGGCCATTTACTAAAGCAGGAAAACCAGGAGAGCTTTGTGTTGGGGTCATGCATTGTGTGACCGCTGCCTGCAGCGCGGATCTAGAGCCGATGAGCTGGGTCCTCTCCGTTGTGTTCACAGGTGAATGTTTGCCAGGTAGGGGTGGGGGAGAGAGACATGCAGGTGGTCGGCATAATGTTAGGGCTGAAGGAGGAACCAGGCAGTTAAGAGACCAAATGTAGGACCATGGGTAAAAAGCTCGGTGGATGTTTGTGAACTGTCTTGGATTGAATGAGTTTCACCTCTCTTTGCTTCTCTATTTCGGGGTTCAATAGTTCCTGTTTTTCCTTTTGAGGCACTAGGGATAGAACCCAGGGGCTTGCATATGCCAGACAAAGGCTCTAACACTGAGTTACATCTTTTAAAAAAATTTATCCCACCTCCCAGTCCTTTTTAAAAATTTTGTTTCAAGACAAGATTTTGTCATGTTGCCCAGGCTGGCCTTGAACTTGCAATCCTCCTGCCTCAGCCTCTTGAGTAGCTGGGATTCGAAGTGTGTACCATTATACTTGGCCAGCAGTCCATTTTTGAATGAGGCCATTTTATGTCTCTATTCAGTTTTTCTTCTTAGGGGTCAGCACAACTGCCCTTCCAGTCACTGGTGAAGTATATATAAACAAGATAGTTACTACTAACCCATGCTGAAGTCACTTTGCTTGTAGGAAGTTGGGTGGACCATGAATGAATCTTGAGATATTTCACTCATTCACTGCTTCATCATCCATGCATCCATGTATCCACCCACCCATCTATCTATCTACCCACCCACCCACCCAGCTACCCAGCACCCATCCACCCACCCGCCTACTCACCCACCAATCCATTCGGTAAGGCTTCCCTTAGAACTTACTCTGTGCCCATCTTCATGTTTTCGAGGTTTTGCGATAACAACATGAATGGATGAGCAAATAGCCAGAAAGTTTTGCTCATTAGGGAGCTACAAATAGCACCCGGGTTTCTGGACATGAACTTTTTGGCTCTCTGCCCTTCACAGACAGTTATATTAAGAAAGAAAATGGGAAAAGCCTTTATTCTTTTGCCTGCTGTGTTGTTTTAAATTTTTACCAAAATGTACAATACTCTAAAGAAGCCCAGGAAGACAGAACTCTTTCTGTGTTTAAAAATGGACAGACCCGTCTCTCTGGGAGTCATGGTGGCTCAGCAGCTGTGCCCCTAAAAGGGTGGGGTGCAGTCTCACCCCTTTACCATCCTTAAACCCCTGGCTGATCATTAATTCTCAAGGTAGTTTTACCTCCCTGAGAGGGACACTCATCAAGCTCTTAAGCATTTGTGCAATCTTCCACAAGAGAAGTGCAACTGGAGTTCATCAAATCTGCCACCGACTTTGTTTTTCTCAGTATACACCAGCCCTGGGCGATCGAGGAGAAATCTCTCCTCTG